CCCCCCCTCCCTCCGTTCTCATCAACTCGACAGTACTCGCATATGATTTATCGCGTGGGAAGGGTAATTGTATAAAGGGGAGGGGGCGGTATTAACACTGTGAAATCTATATTCACGGTGTGTGACAGATGTCAGTAAACAGAGCTATATCTAATCGAAACGAAAAAAACTCGTCAAATGTGCACACTCTGAGCTACGCTACTATCTCGTGTCGAGAAGAGGGGAACTCTGTGATAAGGGATGAACGCTCAAACGCTCTCTGTGCTAGTTAAATTGGGGAACACGTAACAGAAATGTACGTAAAGCTGGACAAATTCGCAGCGCAACGATCGTCTCGTTGCGATCGTCTCGGACTCACCTGATACTTCTCGAGCTGCTCCTGCTTCTCCTCGAGCGTGTTCTTCAGCGAGTAGTTCTTCAGAGAGGTTTCGGCGTCGGTGAGCCAGGCGAGCAGACGTTCCAACGAGTTTTCGTACTCGCTCCATTGCTGTATTCTCTCCTCGATACAACGCACCACGTCGCTCACCGCTGTGGCGAACTTCTTGTTCTCGAATCTAGCGGGAAAGGGAATCATTCGAAGTAATGAGATAATTTTATCGCGAATATTATATTATTCAATATATTTCTTCGATATGTATGTTTTTTTTTAATAAAAAACGCTTACCGAAGATTGGCTAAATCCCGTTCCATTGACTCCTGTGATCGAGGTGGTAAAGTGCGCGAACTCTGCGCCACGTGTTCGCCGAGGACGTTGAGTTTCAGTTCGCCTTCGCTCTGGCTGTCCTGTATCGCTATAATTTTGGCTAGTCGAGCTTGAAGAGTGGCCTTGTTGCCAGTGTAATCGCTATAATTCGCCAAACGCTCCCACTGGCGTTTCTGATAATCCTGATAGGCCTTCTGAAGGTCGTGGAACTGTTGGAAGATGTCAAGCAACGCTTCCAAGCTGGATATTCCTTTCTGAGACATGTCCACCAGCCTCTCGTATCTCTTCGATACCGAAACGACCTTCTCGTGAACGTCCGACGGCACTTGAGTGACTTGAACCAGGGTGTTGGCTTTCTCGGCGATGCCCTCGACGATGCGTTTGTGAGCCAGGATCTCTTGGTGCAACGTCTGAAGCAAAATTCATGGACAATATGACCAACGCTCGTTACAAAAGCTCTCTTTCCCCTTCCCGGAAAATAGTACAGGTAGAAAAATCTTGCAAAATTGAACAAGCGTACACCAACCTTCAGTTTGAGCAGTTTCGATCTTATCTCCTGCAAAGAGGACCACACGGTCGACGAGTCCTGTTTAACCGCGCGCTCCATCATATCCAGCCAAGCCAGAATCTGCTGCAGCGTCTCTTGATAGCTGGTCCATTGCAAGGACTGGGCGTCCTGTTTCTTCTGTTGCTCGGTGATGCCTTCGGCCAGGCGGTCCCATCTCTCGCGGGCGTGTCGCAACTCGTGTCTGATCACTTCGCGACCCTGAGCCGAGGTGTCCGGAAGAATCCGTTCTCCGACAGACGTCAAACTGCCTAAGCGATGCTCGGCCAGCTCCTTCTCGGCCAGTAACATCTGCAACCGCGAATTCCTCGCCTCGAGGTCACCGCCCATCTCCTCCTTCTTCAAGATCGCCAGGTTCTGCTCGAGAGGAGTGAGCCAAACGTCGATGGCCTTAAGCTTCTCCTCGTAAACGCGGTGATCGTCGACGACGCTCTGGCAGCGGTTTATCACTTCCTTACTGAGCACGAGCAACAACTGGTACCTGCGGACGAGTTGCGTTTCGAACGTGAGAACGACAGTTCTTCTCTCGCGGAGAACGATTCGACGTACCTGTTGCTAACTTGGGAAATTAGAGGTTTGATGCGTTCGATGCCACTCGCATGCAGCAAACCGTGCGACTTATCCACGAACTCGTCTATCTCCCGCTCCTGTCGCACGATGGTCTCGCGTTTCTCCTTAAACGCGCGCAGTCGCTCCTCCTTGTCCTTCAACGTGGGCTGCAGCTGTTGGTCCCGGAACGCAGCTTCCATGGAGCGGAACCACCTCGTGTGAGCCTCCAACTGATCCTCGAAGCTCTGCCATCTCTCCAGCGCAGTCTTCTGCCGCTCCTCTACGGATTCTGAAGACACGGTTTCAACATCGAGAAAGTTAATGAAGATAAGTGGAAAAACGATGAATTATTGATTTTATTTATTTATTTATGTAACGGAAAATCTGTTTATTTATTTATAAAACAATGAATTATTTGCTTTATTTATTTACTTATTTATATGACGGAAACAAATCCTATTTTGCTTTATTTTTATTAATTATTGTTAAGAATTATTGTTAGTCGTTTATACGAAGGAGATTATTCGGCGTTAATTTCAAACACGCACTTCTTTTTTATCTTCTTTTTATGTTTAATCTTTTAAATCATAATTTCGACTACCCACACATTTTAGAATTGTTTTCGAAAACTAAACTTTCTGCCAAGATTTTTCAGACGCTACCTATTTTACATATTGAACACCACTGAACTCTATATGGTTTAAATTTCCATATGTAAATAGATTATGTTTAACCACTAACTTATTCTCCGATTCTGTAGACTTTTCTTATGGTAATTTGACAACATTGAAACATTGCACGATTTTGGATCTCGACTCAGTTTTTATTAAAAAATCATTATACTCGTACTCATACATTTTGTAACTCTTTCTTTCTACGTCTGTATGTCTACGATATTGTTGTTTAATTATATATTGAAAGGTGCTTAACGTTAATAAAAATTATTATTACAAGGTGCGATTTACAAGATAGATGCTTACCGATCTCGTTCAAGAATTGTCGCAAATTATTCTCCAGAGTAGTCACATCCTTGCTGATGACCTCTCGACCTTTCGGCGCGGTGCTGTTAGCCACCGCCCCGCTGAGCTCCTTCAGTCGCGCGAGGTGCTCCGCTCCTTGCACCTGGCCGTCCTTCAGCACAGCCAAGCTGGTCAACCTCCGCGAGATCTCGGATCTCTCGCCCGTCACGTCGTTGTACTCCGCCAGCTTGCCATGTTCTCCGTTCAGCCAATCGGAGAAGCACTTGCACTGGAGGTTGAAGCGGTGATGCTTTTCGCAGCAGTCCTCCAGGTTCTCCAGCAGATCCCGCGATTTAGCGACGATGTTCTGGAAGAGCTGCTTGATGGACTGCAGGTAGACGTTGAGGGAGGTGTCCTTGGTCTGGTCGACCAGCTGTTGCGCCTTGTCGCAAACCGACTCGACCAGCGTCTGGTGCGACATGATCTCCTGATGCATGATCTTGTGATTCTGCAGCTGCGCCCGTTTCTCCTCCAGGGAGGACTTCAGCTCGGTGTGCTGGTGCATCGCGCGCTCGACGTCCCGCAGCCAAGCGGTCAGCTGCTCCTGGGACAGCGAGAACTCCGCGAACTGCATCAGGCACTGGTCCAGCTTCTGCGTCGAACTCTGCAGATCCTCGGAGAAGCCGTCCCACAGGCTGCGCAGGTTCCTCAGCTGCTGCCGGACTATCTCCCTGCCCTCCGGCGAGGTGTGTACGTAGAGCTTCTCGCCGAGGTCGATGACGGACTCGAAGCGAGCGTTCTCGCGCGTTCGGACATCGCCGAGGTCCCGGATGTGCTTCTGCCTGCTCTGCAGCACGGCGAGGTCGCCGACGATCTCGCTGTGCTTCTTCAGCTCGCCCTGGATCTCCGTGGTCCAGTCCAGGAACTGATTGTACCTCTCGTTGAACAGGCTGTGCTCCTTCACGAACTGCTCGTACCGCGCCACCGCCTCCTTCGCCTGGTTCCTGATCGCTTGGTACCTGGTGGCCTGACGGGACACCCTGCTGGCCAGGTCGGACTCTACGCCTTGGCTCTTCTCAACCGCCGCGTTGAACTCCGCGCCCTTCGCCACGATGCTCTCCTCGAGCGACCTCAGCTTCTGCAGGTACGCCCGCTTCGCCTCCTCGGTGCTCTTCAGGCTCTGGTCCTTCACCTGCGTCTCGATCTGCTTGATCCAAGACTCCAGACGCTCGACCAGCTTCTCGAACTCGGACCATTGGTCGAACAAGCGGTTCAGCCGGTCCCTGCTGGCGACGCATCGCTGCAAGAAGTCCTCCCAGACCTTCCTCTGCTGCTCGAAGCCCCTCAGCAATGCCGGGTGGCCCGCTATGGACGTTTGCTCCAGGATGATGTTCAACTGCTGATTGCAGTCGTCCAGGATCCGGTCGCCCTCCGGCTTCTGTTGAAGCACGTTCTCGATCAGCGCGATCTTGGACTTGGCCGTGTCCCGGTCGATCGAGATGTCCTCGCTGATCGACACCGTCTCGTTCACCACCGTGTTGATCCAGTCCTGCGTCTTCTCGTACGTCTGCAGGTACGCCTCGTGATTGGCGACGTGCTTCTCCGCCACGTTGATCCTGTCCTCCACGTCCTCCGACAGCTTCTCGTGCGCCTGGATCACGGTGTTCAGCATCTCACTCGCCTCGTCGTCCGGCGTCGTGCCGAGTCTCTCTTGAAGTTGCTGCAATATGTTCCGGTGGACCCCGACGTCCTGCGCGATGGCCCTGTACATGTGCAGGGCGAGCTTCTTCTCCTGAAGCGTCGGCAGCAGCTCCTGCTTGTCGCCCAGCTTCTTCCGCGCCTCGATCACCCACTGCTTCACCTGCGAATACTTGTCCTCGAAGGACGACCTGTGCATCATGTCGCTCTCGATCTTCTTGTAGATGACGTTCGCGCGATCGGCCAACGTCTCCACGCGATTACGCAGGTTCTTCAGCTCGGCCCTGATCACCTCCCTGTGATCCGGCGTGATTCGCGCGAACAGCGTCTCGCCGGTCTCCGCGGTGCGATTCAGGATCGTCTGGCCGGTCTCGCGCTCCTCTCCGAACGCCTTCAGCTCCTTCAGCCGCGACTGGTAGAAAGTCATCGGCTTCGGGCCGCTGATCTCGTTGAAGACCTTCAGCTTCCGCTCCGCGTTCTGCAACCAGGACTCCAATTCCTTCACGTTCGCGACGTACTGAGATCTGATCTGCTGCAATTCCCTCAGCCTGTCCAGATGCTGCGCCAGGAACTTGAGCACGTACTGGTAGCGCGTGTTCAAGTTGCCGACGTATTGAACGACGCGCGACTCGGGACTGATCTTGGTGATCTCCTCCCCGAGGGCGATCAAGTCCTTCATCTCACCGTCATAGTCATTCACCTGCCTCTCGAGCTGCGTTATCTCGGCGATCTTCGCCTCGATCCCGTCCGGATTCAGGAGCGTGGTCGCCTCCACGCTGATCTTGCTCTCGTTCTCTTTCAGCCACGTGATCACGTTCTCCGACGTGAGCTCGTACCGCTGCCACAGAGCGATGTTCTGCTCCAACACGCTCTTGATCTTGCGGTAGCTCGCGTTCAAAGACTCCAGGTCGTTCGCGAGCTTGTCACGCTCGCTACGGAGCGCCTCGATCGTCTCCGCGCTCTCGACGGTGCTCAACAGCTTCAGCGAGTTGTCCGTGTCGCCTATCCGCGCGCAACAATCGGCGATGCCGGCCTCCACATCGGCTAGAGAGGCCATTTTCACCTCGAGGTTGTAGCAATCGCTGCTCTGCTCCGGCTCGCACCAGGCCACCTTCTCCCTGTGCGTCGCCACCATGCGTTGCAGAGTGGCGAACTTCTCGTGATAGAGCTTGCTGAGGAAGGCCACCAGCGTGGCGATCACCTTGTCCGCGTAGCCGGCGACGCCGCTTCTGCGAAGCTGCAGCGCCTGCAGCTCCTTCGGCAGGTTCGACTTCGAGATCGTCGGGTACTCCGCCGTCATGTCCGTCAGCTTCTCGTCGATCTCCGATAACTCGTAGTCGCGCTTCTCCAACTCGGTCTTCAGCTCCTGGCACTTGTTGATGCGACGCAGGATCTTCGTGTTCTCGCCGGTCAGGTCGTCGCATTTGATCACCTCCTCCCGGATCTTCGATATCGCGTCGCTGCACTTCTTCAGCTCCTGCCTGATGCCCTTCTCCTTCTCGTTGAAGGTGGACGTGAGCGAAGCCAGTTTATCCGCGGCCTCCTTCACGAGCTTGAACTGATCGTCCAATAAGTCGTTGAGCGATCTCAGGGTCGGTATGTCCGTCGCGTCGTTCAACTTCAGCAGCTGTTCCGTCTTCGTGGCGATGCCCTGACGAAGTTGCTGATGCACCGGCAGCTCCTCGCGATACCTGGCCAATCTCGCCTGGCCGTTCTCGGCGTCGAGCAGACGCTCGCAGGCCGCGGTGAGCGCCTCGTTCGTGTCGCTGAGCCACCTCGTCAGCTCGTACTTCACCTCCTCTATCTGCTTCCAGATGATGACCTGCGTCTCGTAGATTTGCGTGCGATCGATTATCTTGGCGTAAGTCTCGTGGTACTTGTTCCGCACGTCCGACAGGTCCGACTCGATGAGGCTTGTCTTGAAATTCGGCATCAACGACGCCTCCTTCGCCAACTGCTGCGTCTTGGCGTCCATCTTGTCCAAGAACTGTTTGCCCTTCTTCAAGATATCCGAGGCTCTCTTGTGCTTTTCCAGGGTCACGTTCGCCTGGGTGACGTCGGTCGGCACGTCCCTCACCGACTGGCAGAGGGTCTTCGCCTCGTCGGCGAACTTGTTTAGCTTTTCTCTCGCCTCCTGATACTGCTTCCAGTCGGCGTCCATTTCGGCGTATTTTTTCCTCTGCTCTCGCAGCAGCTCATTCACCTTTTCCCAGTTGCCGTCCACCGAGGAGATCACCACCTGAATGTTGGTTATCGCCCGTTGATCCTCCTTCATCAAGTTGTCGCCTTCCCGGTGAAGAACCTCCTTCTCGGGCTCGCGTCTCTGATGATCCTCGATCAGGTGGTCGATCTTCTCGATCGCCGGCCCAAGCTTCTCGCACGTGTCCACCTCGTAGGTGATATCCTGCAGGCTCGTCTGAGTACCGACGATCTCCTCCGTGATCTTCTGCTGCAGCTTCCTGAAGTTGTCCCATTTAGCGCCGAGATTCTCCAGCTTGTCGCGTTTGGCGGCCAGCTCCGTCTTCAGCACCGCGGCCTTGGACTCGAGGTCGCTCAGCAAAGTGGTCGCGGTGACCGGGCGCTCTTGCTTGTCGCGGACGTGTATGCCCGGGGTGCTGTCCATCAGTGGTACGTGCTCCTTCCACGTGTGGATCTTCGAATAGACGGTCTGAAGCTCCGAGGACAGCCTGTCGAGGTCCGCGATGCTCGGTTTCCTCGCCTCGGCCTCATACTTGCAGTGGCTCAGCTGGGCATTGGCGTCGTTGTGCCAGCTGAGCAGCTCGATCCATTTCTCCAGGCCCTTCTTCTTCTCCCTGAGATCGTCCTCGAGCGCCTTGTACCTCTTCGCCAAGGACGTGTAAGTCTCGTCGAGGGCAGCGGCTTCCAACACGGAGCCCCGCGACGACAGTTGCTTCACCTCGTCGTAGATCACGGCGAACGCGGCCTGCTTCTCCGAGTGCTCCTGAAGGTAAGCGTGCACCGTCTGCAGATTCGCGTCGACGTCGTCCACATTGACGTCACCGATCTCGTTGATGTTGGCGCGCAGCCGCGTCATCCAGTTTTCGAAGTCGGTGATCTTCATCTGGAACTCCTGCCGCGCCAGCAACGAGTCGGAGACGCGGTTGATGTGCTGCCGCACCGTGTCCGCGAGCTTGCTCACCCTGGCCTTCATCTCGGCGACGCGAGCCTTCAGCGCGGACGCGCCGTCCAACGACAGGCCGTGGCTGATGTGATCGGAGATCTGAGTCAGCGATATCAGCTGCGCTTGATGGTCGGATATGCTCTTGTTGAAGCCCTTCAACTGGACCAGCTCCTTCTCCAACTTGGCCGCTTCGGGCGTCTGCACGTTCGGCTCCTTGAGAGCCTCCCTCTCGCTGCTTCGCAGCCACTCGTTGAATTCCTCCGCCTCCGACTCGAGGGTGTTCCACGACGAGACCAGTTTGTCCAGTTTGGTCGTCGTCTGCACCGCCACGTCGTGGACCGCGTTCCATCGCGTGTGCACGGCGTCGACCTCGTCGGGCGCCACCGTTCGCCCGGCTATTTGCTGGCTGATCGTCGACAGGCTCTGCACTTTCGGGAGATATTGCTGACACTGAACCTCGAAGGCCCTGGCCGATTCCAGCATCTGCGTGGCCTGGGCTAAGGTCGTAGGCTTACTGCCCATCGTGGCTGCCTTGGACTCCGCTTGTTCGATCCAAGGTTTTATCTTCTGAATACCGTTCTCGTATTCCTTCCATGTCGCGAGGTTCTGCACGGCCAATTCACGTTGCGTCACTATGCTCTTGTTCAGTGTTTCCACCGCCCTGTGGAGATTCTCGATGTCGGCGCGAAGCTGCTTCGCCGGCGCGTCACCGCTGTTTTCTGCATGAGCGGAGGAAATCAAGATTCTGTACATATTTCTCTGATCTTCGACGAGTGGGTTAATTAATGGGAAATGTTTCATTTCCGGCCTAATTTTTAATCTTTTTGTCGAACAGAATTTAATAACATTGATTTCGTGAAATCAAGATAAGTGAAATTAATGTAATGGAATCGAAAAATATATTTCACAAAATTTAATAAAATCCAATTATAAAAGATTTTAATTTTATTGCAAAAGATAATAAGGAAGATTCGTAGAAATGATAGAGAAAACAAGACACGAAATTGGAAAGTTTTAATTTAGTATTATCGTAAAGTACGCGTAGAAAATTTGCCACTGACCTTTCACGAGTTTCCGAGACTCGTCCTCCAGGACGCTCAATATCGACGTTCTCTCTTTGATCTCCTTCTGCAGATTCTCCGTCTTGCGAACTCTCTCCTCCGGCGAGGCCGTGGAATCCTCGATATCCGCGACCGATACAGGCGCAGCCTGATGAATCCAGGATCGGAGCTCCGTAAGTTTCGATTGAAATTTGTTCCATCGAGTGCTGTGTTCTTGAAGATAAACCACCTTCTCGCGGACGATCTTCAACGTGCGTTCCATTTTCTCCTCGGTCTCTGTCACCTCCTTCTGCAGGATCTCCTTCTTGCTCGGCGATGCGAGCGCCTGCAGAAGATTCGCATGCGTCTCGCGCAGTTTCCTCATCATCTCCTCCGTGGACTTTCTCAGATTCGCGCCGAACTCCTGTTGCTTCTGCAGATCGGAGGTCACTTGAGCGGCGTCGTAATAAGAAGTCGACTCGATCTGCCGCAGTTCCCTTTCGGCTTGCTCGATCAATTTCAGGATCTCGTCCTTCTGCTCTTGATAAGTGCTCCAAAGCTTCTGCGAGTCCTTCAGCAACTTCAGCGTCTCCATGCTTTGGCCATACGTGTCGTTCCAGTTGGTCTCCAGCTGCTGGACCTCGGACGAGACGAAGGGCGGCGCGTGCTGGTCCTTCAGGAGGTCTTTACCGCGCTGCAGCATGCTGACGATCGTCGCTCGCTGTTGCTCCAACTGATTCAGACGGGACTCTTGATGAGCCACCGCACTCTGCAGCTTCTCGGGCACCTCCGGCGTAACCTCGATCTTCGATTGTTCGCGAACCTTGCGCAACAAAGTGCACACCTCGCGCACCTCCTTCCGATAGGTATAGCTCTTCGAATAGATATCCGTCTTCGTCATGGTGATCTCGATCGTCGGTATCAGGTTCTTGTACCGAATTATCAGCTGCTCCAAATTCTGCTGCGCCGTGAGAGCTTCGCGATCCGAACGGTTGAGCGTCAGGTTGTCGAGAGTTTGCACCAGCCACTTCATCTCCTCGCGCTTGTTGTCGGCCTCGCGGCAGATTTTCTGCGAACAATCGTCGGCGCTTCATAACAGTCGCGTTCATAACCGCAGGGGTGGACCTTAGTCTTCGTTGTCAGAACGAAGTTTGTCAAACACAGATTGCTATTTACTTCCCAGATCAATGCTCACGCTTAAGAATCTCACTCTGGGAACGAGCGCCGTGAGATTCCCGAGCGAAATGCATAGCAAAACTACGAGGAAACAGCAAATATACACAGGTGCACGCATATTTACCGTCAAGGTCTGGAGCTATCCGGGAGGAGCGCAGAAAAGGCGAAGCAGAGTGTTTTTAAGTATGTGGACGACGTGAGACTGCGAGAATCTATCGCGTATCACAACCGACGCTTACCTGGAATATGGTCTTCTCCTTCTCGAACTCCTCCAGAGTGTTGACCTCGCGCAAGATGGTCCTCAGGGTATCGTCCACGTGATCCATCCAATGCACCATTTCGTCGAATCTGAAAGCCCAAACGAGCGCACTGTAATTTCGAGGGAAAACCATGTCAACGAGAATCAACGTTTAGACCGCCATATCATCCATAGGCGGATGACGGTTTCAACAATTGAAATAGGAATAATTTTATGAACTATCTATAGAGATATTGAATGAAAGCAATAAGATATAATTTATGTATTAATGCAAGAAACAAAATTAACATTGTATATTCGGTATAAAATGATCAAACTTACATATATTTTGGAAAGTAATCCGCACAGTAAAAAGTTTTGTGTTCAAAACAGCCCACTGAAATTTCGTGTTACTTGGTCAATGTTTTAATTTAACATTATATTTGTGTACTTTTTAACACATTCCCCATGTTAAAGCATAAATTTCAATAGATCGTTTTGAACATAAAATTTTTCACTTTGCGTGCATAATTGTGGTTGTTATTATATCAGTATATTAAGAATATTTGCATGAAATAACACTTGAGAGATACAGAATATGTATTAAAAGATAAAAGTAGATACCATCATCTTTTCATTGGATGGTTCATTTTGCATTTTAAGGCTGATGACAAAAAATTAGACGTAAGCGCTTACGTCCAATTTTCTCTGCCATACTATGTACGACTGCACGTGTTGCGACTTTGGACCTTGTGAGCTTTGCGCTCGAAACCTTATAAGCGCGTAATATTCTTAGAACATTATATGAATATTATTCAATATTAAAATAATATTCTTATAATATTCTAAGAATATTATGTAATATTTTTTAATATTATAGGAACGTTCCACTGATGTTATTATATATATTCACTTCACATAATATTCTTGACATATGATAAAAATATCATAAAAATGTTCTTAGAATATTAAAAAAAAATTATAATACAGAAAAATATATATAAATAAAAAAAAAATATATATATAATTTTTTTAGTATAAAATGTATTTTTATACAAAATTATTTCAATTTCATTTACATAATAAAACAATTGGTATCGCAATATATATGAAATAAAAACTACCATTACATGTATTATACATAGTTGAATATTTAAAAAAATACATAATATTACAATAACATTAAAATAATATTATTTTTTTTATATTATTAGGAGTGGACATATAACCTATCTATAAATTTATTAATATTCTCGAAATATTACGTAATATTAAATAATACTACGCGCTTACAGGGAACTAGCTGGGCAATCTAAATGTTAAATAGACACTTACTTCTGTTTGTAAGCGGTCCACTGTTGCTGGACCTCGCGCAGCTTCTTCCTCAGATTCTCTACTTTCTGCGCGGTGGTTTCCCACAGACGTTCGGCATTTTGCGTGGCATCGGCCAGGCTGGTATCGCCCGGCCTGTGTTTGCCATAGGCGTCGCTGATCTTCTTCAGAGTCTGCAGGCAGCGCTCGACCTCGAGGACCTTCGAGCTGCGGTTCAGGAAGAATTCCTGGATGCGTTGCTGAATACCATCCACGTCGTCGTTATTGACCAGCGCCTGTTGTTCCGAACTGATCTCCATCTCGATCTCCTTGAGATACTGGAGGAAGCTAGCTTCGTCCAGACGGAACTCGAGCCTCATCAGATGAAGCGGCGCGAACGTGAGGACCTCTTTCCAGCGATTCTGCAGTGCCTCTACTGTGCCCGCGATGGAGAGCTGCTGCTCGACCGGCAGCGCGTTGCGCAGGTCTTGACCGGCCTTCACGAGATCCTGTATCCACTTCTCGTTCACCTTGCCGAAGAAGTTCTTGTGGTACTCGACGGATTGGCGATTGTCGATGTGCTTGTCGTTGATCATCGTCTCCGCGACCGACAGCCATTCGGAAATTTGTCTCTCGCATTCCTTGAACTTAGTCCAGCGCCGCACGGACTCCTGCAGGCGCTGCTCCCAGACCTGCGCCGCCTGAGAGACCTTGACGAATCGATCGTTGAGCTTCCTCAGAGTAGCGCCACCTTCGGCGGTCTCCACGTCGGCGTGACTATCGACGGCCTTGATGATGCTCGCGAAAACCTTGTTTTTAGACTCTAGCATGGACTTGTAGTAGAGCGTACGCGAGAAGAAGGCTTTGTGGCGATCCAACTGAGCCAAAGCGGCGTCCTTGCCACCTGCGAGATTGATACTCGCCAAGAAGTTCTCGGCCTCGTCCAACCATGCGGATATCTCCTTCTGACCGGCTTCCAGGGACTCCTGCTGTACCAGCAATTGGTGGTACAAATGCAGCTGCATGGGTATCAGGGCGCGCACCTTGACGAGCGCCTCCTTCTCCTTCTTCAGGGTGTTCATCATCTTGTCAACCTCGTCGCGGGACAGATCTTGAATGAGAGTCTGGAACTTCTTGCTGATGTTCTTGAAGAGATCCTCAATGTCCTCCACCTCGTTGTGAAGAGCCTGCAACTTCTCCCCGTAGGCCTTGATCCGTTCCGTCGAGCTGAGCCCGGTGGTCGCTAAAGCGGCTTCGGCGTTCCTCAGCCAATTCTGCAGGGTCTCCACTCCCGCCTTGTAGTCCTTCCTAGTTCGGATGAGATCGCCCGCGTGCATGTACTGCTTGGCTTCCTGAAAGAGCCGCTCCCACCTGGACGTCAGGTTCGTGTAACGCTCCTTCAGGCAAAACGCTACCGATTCGTCCGACGTGGCGATCAGGAAGCTCACGGTGTCCGACAGCTGCTGATGTTTGTCCTTCCACACGCTGATGTCCTGGAAGAATTCCATCCGCTCGTCCTCCGGAAGATTTAAGGCAGGCTCGGCACGTTGTAACCACGTCTCGAACTCGTCCGAGACGAGGGTCCAACGACGCCAATAAGCGACCACCTCCTCGAGCATGCTCTGAGCGCAGCGCAGGTCCATCGACACGTTCTTCCACTTCTCAGCTGTCTCCCGCATGAAGCGATCGATATTGAAGCTCTCTTCCCGGTCTGAAAACGTGGATTCATGGCATTCTTCAATTCGACCCTCTAATTAATTCATATTATATATTTTTTCGTTTCATATATATTGCTTATATTTTGTTAATCTGTATTTTACTATTAATTTATAATTTATATTTTTTAATGTAACGTCGATTGAATATTTTTCTTTTGTATTCTTATAAGTATTATATATTTTTATAAGTATTGAGCGTATTTTTGCAACCGAAGGGTGCTTTCCTGTAAATATTATGAGGGCGGTTCAATAAGTACCCGTGTTAGACAACAGAGGGCGTTCCTGAGGGAAGTTGGTGTTATCATCGTGTGCTGTCATCTATCAAAAGACGGCAAAACAAATTGCAGACTGATTGATAGTTTAGTTTGGATTTGGCAGCCATTCGAGTAAAACGTGTTTCGTGATTTTCGCTAAGATGGAAAAAGAGCAGTATCGTCCGGTAATTCGCTTTTTGATTTTGGATGGGAAAAAATGCGAGGAGATAAAAGCAAAGTTGGATGCTGTTTATGGGGACACTTCGCCATCTATGACCACAGTTAGATATTGGTTCAACGAATTTAAACTTGGGCGAAGATCCGTTTTTGATAAGGAGCGACCAGGACGCCCGGCAGACGTGGTTACCGAGGAAATCATTCAAAAATCCACGACATGATTCTCGCTGATCGACGAAAGAAAGTGCGCGAAGTAGCAAAGGCCGTAGGTGTGTCGACCGGAACGGCAATTAATATTTTACATGATAAGTTGGCGATGAAAAAATTGTCGGCCCGATGGGTGCCGCGATTGCTCACGGTGGACAATAAGCGGATGCGCCAAACTGCATGAATTGCGTTATGAATTGCTGCCGCACCCCCCGTATTCACCCGATCTGGCTCCCTGCGACTTTTTCTTGTTCCCTAACATGAAGAAATGGCTCGCGGGAAAAAAATTTAGCTCAAACGAGGAAGTCATCGCCGAGACAAATGCATATTTTGGAGAGTTTGACAAATCCTATTTTTTGGAGGGGTTAAAAAAATGGCAGGAACGTTAGGAGAAGTGTATCTTTCTAAAAGGGGACTATGTTGAAAAATAAAAAAAAATTTTTTGAAAAAATAGTGTCTTCATTTCTAACACGGGTACTTATTGAACCGCCCTCGTATTATGATTATTATTGTTCCGACGACAACAAGAAACGTTTTCACTCAGTTACGAAATTGCTTAGACACGCGCGGCAAAGTAGCTTTACTTTCCTAAATTGATTAGCCTCCAATTAACTGGTCGACCAATTCAATCAGGTTTTCACTTACCGATATCACCGTCGCGCTTGTACTCCTCGGCGACCTGCTGCATATCCAAGTAAGCCTTCTGAAACTCTTGGAATATTCTGTTCCGCGAGACGAAGTTGCGATATTGCTCGAGCATCTGGTGAACCTTCTCCTCCGTGCCATACTTAACGTTCCAGCCTTTCAGCTTGGTCTCCACGAGGTAGAGGAAAGCAACCAGGCAGCATTTGTGCTCCAGAAACTTCAGCTTTACTCTTCTCTTAGCGGCGCGATCGGGCAGACTGTCGAAACGTGCGGACATGCTCTGCAATTGTTCAGGTTGGGCTTGCCGTGCCAGCGGCGAGTTTTTCGCGTGCTGGAACTTCTCCGTCATTGCCGGCAGATCGAGGAAGAACTTCTTGTGATCCTCCAACTTGTTCGAGATTATATTCGCCGTTCCCTCGGTCATCTCCTCCGGTATGTCGTTGTCCGAGTTCAAGAGAGCCTCGGCTTTCGCCAACCATCTGCCGGCTTCCCCTAACTCGCCCGACAATGCCGAGTCCAATAACCAGAGCCAGTGTAACATCTGTGAAGAGAAAGTCATTACTTCCTGAAGGGAATTTTTATCGAGGTGTAAAATCACGCGTTCGCCTGACTTATGTGAAAACCATGAGGGAACCTACGAGGAGTTCCATCTGCTGCCACAACATTTGTAGGTGTCTCCAAGAATCCCGTGTGATGCTTATCATACTGGGCGTATCGACCAAACTTTGCATCTTCTTGTATATAATTGATTTCTCGTCAGCTTCCCCTCGGAAGAGCATATATTCCTGGAAGAAAACGTTTCGATGTTGTCCGTCGAAAAATTGTAACGAACAAGAATATCTCTTGTCTTCTTCGTTCATCGTCTCGTTCTTAATTTCAGCAGAAACGATTTAAACCAGAAGCTTGACAAGAGTCTTCGGTATCACCCGAGATTTAACGTGTTATCACGAGCTTACCGGATAACTCGGCGGGAAGGCGTTGGTTCGATCAAGTTGCTCAAGATGCCGGATTCTTTCCTTCAACCAATTCAGGAGGCCGTCGTATTCTTCTCGCACGGTCGCGAACGAATCCGGGGCTGTGTTACCCGGCTCCGGGTACCTGTGCAAGAATTGGGCGACGTAAGTCATGATCGATTTCTCGTCGGGCTGCGGCACGTCCACGTCTTCGGGATCCAGCAAGCGCGCTATGCCCAGCTCGTCTTCGGCGACTTGGAAAGCCGTTTCCAAGCGAGCTCGGTTCGACGCCTCTCTCATGGCCGCTATGTTCACCAGGTTCGCCTTGATGGCGTCGATGATCGCTAAGAAGGCATTCCCGTCTCTCCAACTCTCGCCGAAGTCTCGAACTTGGATACCGACGTCCCTGGAGGAAGCGATCTCGTGTTACTCTCGACGACTCGGATTCGAAGCCGGATTAATCACACGAAATTACGACCCGGTAAGGTACTGACTTGGGCAAAGCGTTGGTGACCCATTGCAGCAAGGTCTTCCGCGCACCCTGCTTCCACTTCTCGCTGCTGATGCGCTTTCTCTCACTCGCCGCCGAACCCTGAGTACCGAGGCTCTCGAGGCTGCTCTGACTGCCCCAGGTTTGTCCGAGGTACTCGAGGGCTCTCGTGTTCTCCTCGATCTAAAAAGACGCGATCGATCAGTCGGACTCAGATGCGGCACAACGCAGGTCTTGGCCGAGCCTAGAAACGATCTCTAGCGTGCGTACTAATAGGATGCGCAATGTTATGCAAGTGCATTTTGTCTCGCTCTTTCGGAGCTACACACACCAACATCGATCATCGCGTCTAACTCACGATCTTCTTGCTTCTTCTCACTACTCACCCGATTGCGATCCTTCGACCGTAGCTTGTTCATTGGAATACATACGGTTAGCAGAGTGACATAATTTACTTTACTCGCGACGGGGATTAATTTCGCTCAACGCAGTCACGTCTCTCTCAATTCGCTCGCCGAAAAAGACCGAAGAAGAAGAGGTTGCCGATCGAATAGACCGGTCGAAGTCATCGTTCAAAAATTAAGACGCACGGTGAAAACAATTTTGTGCTGTGTGTTAAAATCGACCCTTGTTTGAATTTTTAACATACCCGTGTGTTAATTTAACATATTATGTTTATGTTATTTCAATATTCCGTGTCGATATTCAACACGTGTAACTGTTAAAATAACAAATTTTATTCCTTAGCATCGAGTAATATATTAATTTTGCGTTAATTTTTGACATAACATTTTTGTTAGTTTTCAATACATTCACCTTATGTTAAATTGACACAAATATTTATGTAGATACCGAAAATAGGACTTGGTAACAGTTATCAAAATTTGGTCTAATAGTTTCGACTAAATTGTTCGGTTACTTCAACCAAATCACTTAATTCCGTATACTGTAAAGTAACATTTTACGCTACATTTATGATATTAAATGATTTAGTTACAATAACAAAACAATTTAGTTAAAACTATTTAATTTCGGCAATTGTTACCAGATCCTTCTTTCAGTGTACGTTTTTCTCTTCCGATGAAATAAACGAACGAAACTCCCGCAGAGAGATTTATCCTATACGTAGATAGGATTGGAACGTCGCCTATATAAATAATAATCCGTAATCCCCTCTGATTTTATTCAATCTCGATGACGGCGCGTCGGCTCGTCACCACGTGATATCGCGCGGTTGGAGAGCGAGCGTGTAAATATAAATTAATCCTCGTCGCGAGCGTAGAAAATATGGTGCTGCTGCGTATTCATACTCAAAGTACTTATTACGTTACGTGATACGAGCGCTATATTTAAGCAGCTACCGCATACTAAGTAGAAGTTGTGCTCTTTTGCATAGCTCTCTGATTACATAGGAATCGCATTATCCGAACGTGGGGATAAGTACCTGGAAGTACAGGATGATGGTCCATATTAGGCCCAGAACTACTGGCGGTCGTCCGTCGACCAGGTCGGACGAGTTGATATTCACTAATTTGATCTGCAAAAATACCACCAGGTGTGAATTTGAGCGTGCTGGATTTTTCGTGGCCCTTTGCTGGCCCTTCGTCGAACACATATACACACATACACGGGACACAATCAGCGTACTCACTTTCTTGCTCTGTAAAAATTGTAGCGCGGTATTGGCGTTACTGAGGAAATGCGGTCTCTTTAGGTTACGGCCTCTCTCCACGGGCTGAAAGATTACGCGCAATTTAAACAACGGCCGTGCTCCCAACGACACTTCCGTTTGATATAGTAGCAAGGCAAATATTTCATTACCAGTTTCTCTCCCGAGAGAACCTCGAGCAACGCGAGAAGGCGCGTACCATCCTTCAGATCCTCGATTAAGTCGTCGACCCGAAGCGGCGGGGCTCTCTGTACAAAGGGAACGTTCGCGAATTGCGATTATTTGCCAATCCTAATCACCGTTGTGGAATATTTGTGGAACACACAGATAATACACACGGAAGCACACGCGCGCGTGTACGCGAAAACGCACGAACACATGACGGCATTGCGAAGCGAGTGCACGTACCGCGTAAGTGTATCGGCGATGACGGCATTCTCCGCTGACACAAAATTCGATATGTCAACATGCCGACATTTAAATAAGTGTGTTTACGTGTGTTTCAAAAGATCGTTTATTTCGGAATAATATATTGCGCTCGAAACCGCCGCGTGGGCTTCGTGTTTTAGCTCTCCGCCTCCGCTCGCGCGGAGGAGGGTAAAAAGACCGAAGAGCAAAGGGGCGTTGGAGATCAGTAAAAGGCAACGCCGATAAAACTGCAAGCAACAGTGAATTTTTATTGTCGCCCCTTTTTTCCGTTCGCCGCGCTAGTCCACCTTGCGCATTTAGCGACATGCCGTCGCCGTCGCGGCCGACGAGCGAGAGACGGCGCTCGCTTTAACGACTTTGCTACTTTTGGCGCATGCATGTCACGACCGGCGGTATTTCCACGGTAAGTTCCAAGTTCTGATGGATGCGGAAGTAGGGGAGTGCATCGAAACTCGAGAGCCAGGTACGGGTTAGATCAGCGCTCCGTTCAAGTTTCGATAGCACGATACGAGGTAGTCTCCTCCCGTCTCGCGTTTTATTAGGCGTCACGTAAGGATCGAGAGCGTTACGTAACCGACGGCGGGTGGAAAAAAAGATGAAGAAGAAGGAAAAGAAACGGAGAGTATCGCGAGCCGAGAATCGCTCCCGTTGTTATCGTTATCAGGCAGGCTACATTACCTGCCGGAGAAACACGGCTATCTCGGAACGTGACGTGACGCGCGCGCGCGCGTAAATCTGTCTTCCGTTGAATCACGAGTGACCAAAATATTTCGCTCCTCGACGCACTCACCTTCGACAGGTAAGAGTTGATCCAGTTCACGAAGGTTTTCTTCTGCACGCGTTCCTGCTCGTCTGAAAGGAAAAGAGAAGAACGGGAGTCAGTTTAATGGTACTTGAGAAAGTTGTAATGCTCAGCATCGTATTTCGCCTGTGGCGCATCGCAAGGGGGCCACTCACTAAATTTCATATTTGAGAAGCGAAATTACGTTCCTCTACATTAATTTCATTATCTAAATAATAAATGTTAATTCGGCAAGAAATTGAAGTAATCTATACATATGACACGATATTATAAGTATGAAAATATTATTTTTTTTACTAATTATATATTTTTTTTATTAATGCTATATATTTACGCATCGGTTTATTTAATGGAGACGCACAGATAATAGAAATTTAACATCATAGTAATTTTTCATTAAATCTTACTTTTAGTTTAAAAGGTTTTAAAAGTAACGCGCTAATCGTAAAAAATATGTATAAAAAGTGTCAATTTTAGTTGCAAATATTTTAACTTTTAAATCGTCAATCTTTTCTTAATTACAGGTGTGGGTTAGATAATATTTCAGTGTATACGTGCACAGAGAAAAAGATTTGATAAAATTTCTTTAATTGAAATAAATTTGTCTTTTGGAGTGAAACAAACGAATGTTTTATTCCACGAACAGGACTGTTTGGTTTCTCAAACAATAAATTTTACGTCAGATAACATATTTCTTTCATATTTTCATTCAAACATTCATACAATAGTTATCACAAGCAACAAATTATTTGAAAGAAGTAACACTATGTTAGAAAAATATCAAAGAACTTTTTTGTTTCAGTGGAACAATATTTGATATGTAATGAAATAAAATTTTTTTTTATTAGAAACAAAATATAATATCTTTTAAATAATACCGATTTTTTCTCTCCGACAACATGGTTTATTTCTAATAAACAACAACATTTTCATTCAAACAAAATGATATTCGATATTGAATTATGTTGTCTATACTAAACAAACCCAAACTAAATACACATGTATACTAAAAGAAACCTTTTTCTCTGTGTAGTGCATGTTTCATCGAATTCTTATCAAACTCATTTCGCCTTACAGTCTTCATAAAGTTGCGCGCCGAGGCAGAGACGAAGAGTCGGCCTTTGCGAGATTCAAGAGCCAGTCTTTGACATCGCCGGCGCGCTTGTCGTACAGTGCGTGTAAATTATGAAAATACGAAGAAGAGGACGACGGGAGTCAAGAGAAGGCGCAGACGCGCCGGACGGTCCGTACGCGATATTTCGCGCGCGCGAAATCGTCGTCATCAATTATAAGGATCGCACCGCCGTCGGCGAAACGCATTAGCGCCGTTTTATTTTTAAATCTCGCGTCATTTTCACCACCTTACCGGCTATGGTCGCCGCGCATACGTCATGGCGCGACGAGGCACACGCGCGCGCGATAATGAACGTGCAACTGGCGCGGCGCTGCATAGAGTTCGCCTCGAGACGAACGTTAAACCGTCACATAAATTATTCGCGATACGCGCGTATCCATCTTTAACGTGATCCGACTGCGGATAGAGAAAAAAGCAATTACGCGACTCGACGGACGGAATGGACGCGATCGACAAAGTAGATTGCGTTCTCGTTATTCCATACGCAACACGTTCCTCGAGTGCTCCAACGCAAACTTTGGCATTTCGCGCGAGTACGCGCGCGTTTCTGCGACAATAGGTAAAACGATTTCTCGTTTTCGAGTGCACCGTTGATAACAGCACTCTCGGCAACGGAGCACGCATTAATCTTGACGTGTGCAAAGAGAGAATAATGTTCGTTTCATAATGAGAGAAAGAGAGAGAGAAAGAGACCCTGCTCGAAACTTTGAGGGGAGAATTGAAATGCGTGCAATTCAAATCGAGAGATCGTTTCTCCGTCGCCTTTCCACGCACACGAAACGATAAAATTGGTCACGGGGACGGTTCGGAGAAGCGTAAAAATTCGCGATCCCCGAAATAAAACGGCGTTTGATGTCACCAACGGCCACGGATGTCGTTGCCTCGGAACAGTGGCTGCCTTTCATCGAGCCTTCCACGACGGTCCCGTCGGCGTTGCGTTGTTTTTCCCCGCTGTAATATTACGGAGCGACCGTAATCCACGCGCATGCAGCCGACGATAATTAACGATAATTAAGGCGCGTCGCGTCGACTGATGTAACTTCTTCTCTTTTTTTTCATTTGCAAACTTCTCAACGAGTCGTTAGAAGTTCTCGCGCCTTCGTTTAATTTTGCCCGACTCGCGCGACGTAAATCATTGGATTTCCGACGGTGACTCGTGAATTTTGTTCAGCGAATCTCTCCTCGAACTACCTCGGCGGATATCGGTGTCGACCGCACGAGAGAGATAGTCGCCGATTAATTTAAGAGTTGAAGCTCGCTCGTTCGGAGAAACGCTCGGAGGAACCTTCGCTTTCGCGAGCAGAAGCGACTTAAGCGCTGCTCTCTGCCCGATAAGATTAACGGAGAAACACATATTCTCGCACGTACGGAGATAAGGAACGACACATTAAAAGCGATACTGTCGCGGGTTATATCTAAGTAAGCTATTAGGAACACCGCGCTAACAATTTCAATATCGATCGGTCGGCATCGCGCCAGTGAGAGTCGCATTCGATTCTTCGCATAGTCGATCATTTCCCGCGAAACTTTGTCTTTTTATTATTCAGATTAATTTGACGTTGAATGAATGGGAAGGGCCAAGCGGACGGCTTGCCGGGACGAGAAGAGAATTTGTAGAATTTCTGCAATCTACACTTATCGCGCGACAGAGAGCGGCTTGGTTGAAGTAAACCGACCTATTGAACCCCGGCGATACGTCTCGGAAATTTTATAAGGAATTACTACCGCCGCTTTTTATCTCTGCTTTATCTACGAGAGATGTTTGATCGAGGCCCCAAAGTGTGGGCGAGAACCGGGGACCACGTTACACGCCGCGGTCTGGTAACATTGAAAAGGCAGGATATTCCCACGCGTGCTCATTAACATTCGTGTGACCGTGAGTGGTCACGGTTACGGTAAATCGTTGGGCGACCGAAACACACACGCCCACGAACCGTAGCGTCCGCGATGCACCCGATTACATAATTTTTCGGGGGGACCGAGCCCTCGTTACTCACGCTATCCTCGAGTCGCGAAGTCGAAAGTGCGAAAATAATTCGGAGAATTACCCGTCCTGATTGTTAAACGACGCGTCCAAGAGACTATCGGACGATAATATAAATCGTGGTTTAACGTATTAGGTGTACAAATTAATTCGGTGCCTTTGCATTTAACGTCTTGTAACTCTGGTTCAAATTGAAACTTTTTCCCGTCCTATATGATGATTTGAAAATATCAAATTTAAGCTTTAAGAAGCACTATAATAGTGGCCTTGCCGGTACAACATCAGAAAACAGTACTTATCACGATGTCGTCCGAAAGGGAGCGTCTGAAGCACTGCATTCTTTTTGCGTTCCATTTGAATAAAAATGTTGCTTAGTCTACCGAAGTGATATATTCCGCTTTGGGTGAAGGTGCTGTGACTCGTAAAACTTGTAAAAAGACCTTTTACCGATGGAATTAAACAGGTGATTCTGCTGCACGATAACGGCCGACTACATACTGCAAAAGGGATGAAAGACCTCATCTATATGTTAGGCTGGGAAATTTTCCCTCATGCGGCTTATTCGCCAGATCTAACCCCGTCGGATTACTACCTATTTCGATCGCTTCAACATCATCTGACGGACAGGCATTTTAAAACAGTCGACGAGTTCCGAAAAAGCATCGATGACTTCATTGAGTTAAAGCCGCCAAGTTTTTTTTCTGCGAGAGCAATCATCAGCTGTCCGACGGATGGAGTAAAGTCGAAGAAAATAATGGAAATGATTTCGAACATTAAACTTGTACTTGACTTGTTGTAAGTAAGCTTCGAATTTCACGGGAAAGGGTACCGAATTAATCTGTACACCTGATAAATTCCTCGTGCTACAGTCGAGCCTCTCAACTCGTCGGCTCTTTTTACGACACGCTTGGATTTTCCGTGACACGTGATATCATTCGATACGCATGTAGTTGGTGTGTAACGACTTCGATCACCGGTAAGATAACTCACGCTCTCGTGTATCATTTCTAATTTTAGATTCGGCACATTCAGGGCGTGGTGCGGGCGCGCGAAAAAGTCGCCATACGCGAAACGCTCGCGAAACTGCATCGGTGCAGCGTGCACTCTCTGCATAATGTTCGCCGCGAGCGCTCAAAGCGCTCGTGCGTTCGCTCTCACCGTCGACATCCGAAATAAATTCGACTTGAAATGTTGTTGCAAATATTATTCTGCAGTGTCAGCACGCTCGCACGAGCTCGCGAGACAGCGGCATTCAGGATTCTGGGACAAGACGGGATCCGCGATTATGTCATCGCTCTTGAACGCGATTCCACCGCTGCCACGTACCTGCGTAATCGTCAGTCCGCGTCGAGACCGACTACTCGCGAAACTACACGGAAAAAATATTCGTCTTAAATCAAGAATAGTTATTCTCATATGTAAGCAAGAATATTATAATCTTCTTGGAAGGCTTTTCAGTCTTGAATTAAGTTTAAGCAATACATCAATATAAATTCAGCCAAATCAAGAGTAAAAATCTCCTAAGAAGATTATGATATTCTCGCTTGTACATGAGAATATCTATTCTTGATTTAAGACTAATTTCTTTTTCTTCTGTGAGTACGTGTGAGCATCTCGTTTCGCGACGCCGCTAAATTCTCACGTAACTGTGACGCTGATTCGGTTACTGGGATCGAGAGGGATCAATCACGCGATATCGATGCCAATCACGGAGGATACAAATGACACGTTCGTCAATCGTCACGGAACCGGTGCTGATCGATATCGATCCCGAGCTCGTGTTCTCATCCTCCTTCTTCCTCTTTCATCCACCGTGCTTCCCCGTCACCGCTTGAAACTGTTTCCTCGGGTAGCCCAGCTTACCAATTATACGCGATAACCGAGTTCGAGAGGGATCCGCGGGGTAAACCCTGTTCCGGGTGTTTACCATT